TCCGCATGAAGCTTCAGGTCTTCTCGGCCACAGTCATTCCCTCTCTTCTCTACGCTTGCGAAACGTGGACCCCCCTAATGGAACATCTTCGCTGGTTAGAAACATTTAGGCTAGCCTGCCTACGATCCATCCTGGGTGTTACCAGGCTGGATTGTGTGAGGAGCTCACAAATCCTTTAAAGATCTGGGCAAGGTCACATCGGTGAGCTCCTCCAACAGGCAAGGCTGCGTTGGCTGGGTCATGTAGCCCGCATGCCCAGCCACCGCATGCCGAAACAGCTTTTGTTCGGCCGGATCGAGGGGGCTAAACGGGCGCGGCACGGGCTAGAGAAGAGATTGAGTGATGTTGTACAGAAGGATGTGGAGCTGAGTGGACTTGCCGATGACTGGTACCAGCGGTGTCAAGATTGGCCTCTGGAGGAGGCTCGTGAAGGATGCTACTGGGCAGTTGGAGGCAGTTGCCCTCCAACAACAACGGAGGGCGGAGGAGCCATGCTCACAACAACGAGCGGAGCGCCGGGTGGCTAAAGCACAGCAGGTTGGCACAGTAGGGGGCACAGGTGGTGCATCAGCAAGTCATCTCAGTCATCTTAGTCAGTCGACCCGTGGCACTTGGGTCTGCCCCGTGACCTCCTGCCAGCGGGCGTTCGACACTTCACGTGGCCTCAAGGTGCACATGGCCTGGCACAAGCGTCGTGGTGACATCACTGCCACTTAGTGGCGAATGGCAGTTGTTGTGTGGTGGTGCAGGAGGGGTGTGTGTGGGTAGTGGAGTAGGTAGGGTGAATGTGTGGTGTGTGTGGGGTGTAGGTGGTGTGTAGGTGGTATGTGGTGTGTGTGTGATGGGAGTGGTCGTGTAGTGGTTAGCGCTACACTGCGCTATGAACCCGGCGACACGGGTTCGATTCCCGCTCACGGCCAACACCAGTGACGATTACCTTAACCGGTCCCGGGGCTCCCCTAGGTCGACTCAGCCTCAAATGAGTACCTGGTGCGGTGTGTAAACATTGCCACTAGGGAGACAAAGGCGGTCGGGCGTGGTGCTGGGCACCCACCCCCTCGTGTACCATTACGGCCTTCATAGGTGCTCGCTAACAGCACTTGCCCTTACAGTCTGTTAAAGCTATATGGGGGATCTTTGTCTGTGTGTGTGTGTGTCGGGAGCGGTATTGTAGCGGTTAGCGCGCTGCGCTATGAACCCAGCAACCCGAGTTCGATTCCAGCTCACGGCCAACTCGGGTGACGATTATCTGAACCGGTCCTCGGGCCTCACCGAGGTCGCCTCAAATGAGTATCTGGTGTGGTGCGTAAACATCGTGACTGGGGAGACAAAGGCGACCGGGAGTGCGTGGTGCTAGCCACCCCACCCCCTCGTGTGCTCTTCCGGCCTTCATAGGTGCTCGCTAACATCACTTGGCCGAACAGTCTGTTCAGGCTATACAGGGGGATCTTTGTCTTTGTGGTCTGTGTGTGTTGCACTACAACAGCAGAGTATTTATACTGGAGAAATCCGATGAGCTGTAAAGCTCTTTTTTTGTTTAACAGATGTTCCGTTAGAGGTGGGTAAGAACGTTTCATACACTTACAACAGACAATACAAAAAAGAACACGACAGTTTGTACAAAGTACAAAGGCAAACAAATTGTCCAAAAATATACTACGAACCCGACTCTCCGAGTTAGACTCCCGCTCACGGCCAACACCAGTGACGATTATTTGAACCGGTCCTGAGCGTCCCCTAGGCCATCTCGGCTTCAAATGAGTAGCTAGTGCTATGGTGTTAAACATCGCCACTAGGGAGACAAAGGCTGCCGAGCGTGGTGTTAGTGTGCCGTACCGGCCTTCATAGGTGCTCGCTAACAGCACTTGCCCCACCAGTCTATTACAGGCTATATGAGGATCTTTGTCTTTATGTCAACGTTCTTAAGCCCTCTTTTTATATACCGACCTTGATGTTTTACTCAATCATTGAACATATTTTGTTGATTTTGTTTGTTGTTTTAATTTATGTTTCTGGGTGTTTGTTCTACATATTTATTTGCAGGTTTGTGTCATGGTTTTTGGCTTTCTTTTAAAATTTCGGATTTGGATTTTTAGGTGTTTTTTGCATTTAGTTTTCCATATTTTTAGCTGTTTGTGTTTTTGTAATGTTTAATCTGGCTTTTTAATGGGTTGTTTTGTTTATTTGATGATAGGCTCATATCGATTTTTCAAATGATTCACAATTACAGCACACGCAGTGTAATTTTTTAAAATTTAAATTCAATCGCTAGACTTCTCAACTACATATTTTTCCGTATGCCGAATTGGGATTAAGTAAAATACATTTGTTGCTTTAATGTAAGCTGCACATGTTTTTTATTCTTAAATGTTGACTAATGAATTGTGTTCTGTGCAATTCTTGCACATGGCAGCAAAAAGTTCGGAAGCTAAAATGCAAAAGTCGAGGTCTCGTGAGGGTTTCAGCTATTCCTCCTATGACACCACTTCGAGTACAGCATATACCATCTTATTTGTTTTTTTTTCTGCTTACTTTTCCAAATGAAAAATAATTACGTTTTGTAACCATTGTCAGCGCTATCCTTATTTCATGAGGGGTTTGCTCTGTGTAGGTCAAAGTTATTGTTTTTTTTCATCTTTTAAGTGTGCTTTTAACTGTGCTTGCTCAACTATTTTAACAAGTGTTAACTCCCATTATTACCGTACAGTACTGTTTTTTAAATTTCACTATTTTATCTTCTTTATGCCACTATTGATACTTCTTTAATTTCTTCCTTAATTTCGCTATTATTGTTAATTCACATTTATAAGAACAAATACTTTAAATTATACCGCTCGATACAGCTGCAAATGGAAAGCTATTTTAAGTAATTACTGATATAACGGAAATAATCATTTCAACTTTGTAACGTGCTGCACGGTATCCGCTCACTCTCGTAGAGAGAGAGAATGACTCAAAGAGGCATGAGGAGAAACCACAGACAAGGAGAAGGCAGCCATGCAGCCAGGCAGTGAGCTGGTGCCAACCACTGCCCAAGATCTGCGGCCTTCTATATACAGTACAGTATTCCCTCGCTATTCACGAACTTGCTATCCGCGATTTTGGCTCCCCATGAATCGCATTATGGAACTCTACACGACTGCATTGAGAGAGAGAGAGTGATCAAGTGTTTAGAGAGATAGAGTGATGTGAGAGAATGTGATGCGAGGGATGTGAGGTGAGAAAGTGATGAGATAATTTTCAGATATTTAAACGCTTATGTATGTATTTAAGGTAATTTATTTTAAAAAAATATTATCTAGAACGTATCCCTCACAAATAATGAGGGAATACTGCATTGAGGTGTTACATCTGGGAGGAAACTGGGGCACCCAGAGAAACCCGCGTGTGCGAGGGGAGAAACACTTTATATCCCATACCGACCGAACAGATGGAGTCCACATTTGTTGTACCGCCTTCGCCTGGCAAGCCAGGGTGACACCTCCATGCCCACGGGAAGGGAGATTCACAACATTTGTGCAATCCACCAACCCTCGCCTCCACACGACTGGGTTATAGGTGTGTACCACCATTGCCCGGCTACAAAAATACATATTTATTTCAATGCATTATCGTTTACTCATCGAGGTTACATTTTAAATATCTCAATTATGTGACACTAACTCTCAAGCATGGTCCAACATTGTAGGAGCACAAATAAAATGTGACCAGTGTAATGTATTTGAATGTTGTGCGTAGGTTTGCTTTCGGTGTACGTGTGCTGTGCATAAAGTAAACTTGCAGAAAATATTGCACCATCATGAGCAGCCATTTTCAATCAACTGCTGGACAAAGGCATCCTGCTGATGCAAATGAGTAGATTCTCGTGCACCGACAATAATTTTAATCTCAATTATCCTACTTTTAATCACGTCTCATATTTGGTTATTTCATCATTGGCCTTCCCCTTACGCATCAATATGACACTGCATTTGTCAATTGATTGATATCTCCTCAATCAACATCAAATGAAAGTCCACGTGTGTTGTTTTTGTTACAACATATATCTTGAAATGATGTTCTTATATCTGTGGGTGTCCTTTGAGGTATCCCAGGCTTGCTTGTGACTTGCAACACTTTGTGGATTTGCAATATTTGCATTGTGAGTGAGCACGTTCATAACCATCACTTGATGGAGACACATTAAATTTACTTCATCTTCACAGGTACAAAATTAATAAATAACTCGGTCCTCCAACAACAAATCAACTTGTCGACCACAGTGTGTGCAGTTTCACGTAAATAATCATTTTGGCACTGCACCATGTTATCTAGCAAAACAATGTGCAGCATTTGTAAATTCATTCTATGGTAGGAAGCAATTTGTAAAATAGGAAAATGCTCTTCTGCCCACAGTTTGTAAGCGAGGACAACAAGGCTCTGGATAGATTGAAGACACCCATCTAAGCATGCAGCATGGGAACCGAGGTAAAAAAAAATGGTAAGAACATGATTAAAATTCCCATTACATGATTATTCTCCCACTAACATTCACAAATCTGCTCATCCTGGCGTAATTGAGCAAAGCGCTAATGATTCCTTATACCACACATTCTATTTCATATAACATGAAAACAGTACAGTATTAAAACTCTACCAAGACGATCTTTTTCATGATATTTGAACCTAGAAATTTGAATGTGGGTTTTTATCGCCATTATTTTACTGTATTTTCAAGAGTCATATATGCACCTCTGATTAGCATGGTTGGCTACGTATGGTGCGAAATAAGTTATACATACATACATGGATACAGTATATTTAGGAATGTTTGCCATATTTGTTTGGCATGATGTCCGACTCCTGAATAAGCTCCCAGTGCGTGGAACAAAATGTCAGACTTTGTGTACAACGACGTGCAGTACAACTAGAAAACGCATCGGGGGAACTGTACAGCACAACCGCAAAAACGTGTGTGCAGTAAATAAAATGGCGCTTGCGAACAGTGGGTGGGAGCTCACCTGGACATGGCGATGGGAGAAAAATACTTCTGATCGGTGGTGCGAGCCATCCTTCCTCACACCAACAGCATCGGTGGCTGTGGGCAGTGCGACGGTGGTGGAAGTGGTGGTGGTGGCGGTGGCAGCGGTGGCAGCATCAGGCCAAGGGGGGATGCGCTGCAGGGCATCTATCCAGCTCGTTGCACCTGGAGCAATATGGTTGTGCGGATTCATAAGATGTGCTTGAGAAACCTACCACCCGACCAACTCTACACGTTCAGTTTATTTCATGCTCAGAGAGACAAGTTAATACGTGGATTCATTGTGGAATTTGTATACAATTACATACACAGTATGTATGAATGTGAAAGCTTAGCGCTCTCTGCACGGCAAGTGCTAGTGAGGTAAGGGTGGCTGTGCTATGGGTGTTGGCACTGCCGTGTCCCAGTGTGCTGTGTTTAATAGGCGTTTGCTAACACTACTTGAAAAGGTGCAAAATTTTATGGGCTGCAGGCCATGTGATAACTATAGGCTGGTGGGCTGCAGCTTGCTGCTACGAGTGTTCATATTCCCAGCCGCCTCACTTGTGTTCAACCTGTATGTGTGTTAAATGCCATGAATTGCATTTAACACACATACTTTTCGAAATGTGGTTTCCAGTTTGAATGTGGTGTTCTGGCCCGAATAGGTATGGGGTGGTACTTATCTCCTGTTGTAAGCTTTGAACTTTTGTGAAATTTCCACATTCCTTTGGCAGAGGCGAGTTTATCCATAGGACAATCACTGTCGACCTCCCACCACATAGTGCTTGATTAATTAACTCCAGGGGGATGATGTGCCAAGTAAATTTCCAATAGGGAATTGAAATCATAACGTTCCAGTTGCTTTAACTGCTGTGCCTTTTAACTATACTATTGTACACACGTATTTTTTTATTTACATACTCTGCAGTGTATAACACACTTGAGTTCAAACAGGGCATGTTGCCATTGAAGCGCAATTTTGGGGAAATATATATGACTGCTGGTTTGTATGCCCGCAATCAATGCCCTTTGGGAATAGGAAATATAAGTAGTCCTAAATGCTCAGATGTCATTGCTGCCACATCAAATTAATTGGCATCTTAGACCCTATTCACTTTACTCTTGTACCTGCACCTGGGCAAAAAAAGCATGGAGATGTACACACTTGGAATTACAGCGAGATACATAAAGAGAAACATGGATTGGAGCACAAAAACAAGTTCCGGACATTGTATTGGCTTAAGAAAAGGCAGTACACGTTGCGAGAAGGGATGATGGCCGGTGGTCGAGACTAATGATGGTGTGGCAGACAAAGGAGTGAATATGCTCAATTTGTTTGCAGGAACTAGAGGGTTTGTTACATCTTGAGACCATAACAGATGGTGACAGATTGTTGGAGACCTTCATCCAGTAGTGGATTGATCTTGGCTGATGATGACCTGCACCCTGGAAATATACAGACTCCAGCTACTCACTATAGAGAAATGAGCTTGTTTAAATGTTTTCATTGGAAATTTAAGTCATTGTCACTTTTGTTATTTATATATGCAGTCTATACAGTCAAAGAGTATTTGACACGTTGACACGTATGGGTCACATTTGACCATGCTCAATTATAGTCATGACAATCAAACCACAAGATAATCTGTGGTCCCTTGATTTGAGCTATGAGTAGCAGGGAGCAGGAGGGCAATACTGTGAAGATGGGTCCAGTGGTTAAGGTTGCCCAGGGCTTAATTTTAGCCGGAGCTGTGTGGGGCTGAGCTGCGAAACATATTTCCCCCCTGCAGAGGTCTAGAGAGTTGGGGAGCCCAGAAGAAAAGTCCATGAGAAATCAAGCCCTGGGTGTGTTCCATTAAAAGGTGACCCATGTCAGAGGAATGATGCGAGGAGAGGGCTTCTGGCTGGGGCTTTCCAGTGCGGTCTCTTGGCCACCCTGCCACCGGCTCACACTAGTTTAAATGCATTGTTTCTCTCTCCTGCCAAGGGCAAAACTGCCTTATAGGGTGTATTATGTGGGTTCCTGTGCATGTCAGCAAAGGCCCTCCCATGAGGCGTGCCAAAATGAAGAAACAGAAAAAAAACCCACATTGGGAGAGGAAACTGTGGCTGACTGTACAGCGGATCAGGCGCTCAGCCATACTTGAGAACGTTTGTGCTTATCGGCAGTGCAAAAAAGTCACAGTAGCATTACACAACAGTTCCATGTTATGCAGAACCGTAATATATTTTTTGTATTTAGAACATTTAATTTATTTTTCATAACATTCCATTGTGTTTCCTTAACTTGTGCTGACAACATTGACGGCATGGGCTAGAGTTTGATTGCATCTTTTTTTTAGTACTGAGGAAGCCCATAGTTGCATAAGCGAGCACGTGTATGAACACAAATGCCTGAAACTTCAGTGGCACTCTTAACTCAAGTATGCCGCCGCCATTTTTTAACGCTTCTTCCAAATCATTCCGTCGCGAGAATGGGAAGGGACAAACTTTTTTGTTTTACAACCGGCAACTTTGTGGAATTTTGGAGTGACCGGTAAAGCGGGCTTCCTCAGTACTGCGGAGAAAAAACGTAATGGTCAAACGAATCGCGCCCACTCTTTAGTGGTGAGAGGGGGGGGTCATCTTACCTTGGCAGTGTAGCCCCGCCATGCACCCCTGGCCGACCCCTCCCTGCGTTGCTGCTTCTGTTGCTGCTGCTGCTGCCGCCGCTGAAGTATCCGCGTGTGGGTGCCTGTGGGTGTGGCCCCAGTGAGAGGCTAACCTGTCGGCAAGGCGGGAGTTGAGACCACAGCAAGGCGGGGAGGGCTTCAGCTGTCTTGTCACATTTAGCTTGTCTCCGAGGGCAGATTTTTGTTTGCTAAGTTTTTGTTAGGGGTCTGCCAATTTGCTGCAAGTTCGTTTGCCTCTTTTGACACCTCGCCTGCCCAACCGATCGACCGCCCGCCACTACTGTTTGGGCCGAGGGGTTGGATTTAAACCCCAACTCAAAGCCAGGCAGGCGCTTGAAAGAACGCAGCTTCCTGGAAGGGGATGTTAAGCCGGAAAAAGGGTTCTACTGGCAGATTCGTTTCGGTCACCAGTTGGCTGCTTTTTGAGCACCGGATTGCTCCCAACAATTTTTTTAATGCAAATGAATTTTGGAGGAACTTGATCATGTGCAACTCAGTTTGGGTGCACATTACATGGCAATTTGTTAGAGCAAAAAATAAAAATAATCAGTTGCATAATTACATTACCGAAACAAAATGTTATATTGTATTAGCTTGCCACTACAGTAGTTTAGAAGCATTACAAGTAGGTTTGACGTATACATTACGCATATGCACAGTCGAGCGTAAATAATCCCATTTTCAGCTTCATGATGGTGAAATACCTTATTCAGTCTGTAGGGAATTAATAGAGTGTAGGCGACAGTGATACGTTTTAATGTATGGCAGTTATAAGCTGTGAACATGACATTTTCATACATTTCCACTTGCAGTATAATATTTTTTTTTACCCACAGTCATACACACATTAAACGCATATCGTGAAAAAGCACCTTCTCTCAATCGCTTGGTAGTTTTGCCTCGTGAGGCTATAAATGCGTTGCACACGTGCAACTATGTGTGCCGAGCCTGTTTCCTCTTGCCCCGGCAAAAAAGTTCCAGCACGACCCTTTTTGATGTTGCTGAAGCATTCCTCAGCCATTACAGTTGCTTGCATCATTACCCACAATTCCTCTTCTCTGCCGGCCCCAGCCGATTGGCTTGCCACACTGCCTGAGTTGGGCTACATGCCAGGGGCAGCCCCATACACAAAAACCTTGTGTGAGTGTGAGTGCGATTCTCATTTGGGGGTGTGTACCACGTGCACGCGTGAAGGGACGGTTTGCTGCAGGGCTTTGCTGGAGAATTGTGCAGACTCGGGGGACTTTCCAGTATTTGTGGGATACCGGAGAAGAAAAAATGAAAGTGAAGTTCATAAGGTAAGAGCCGGCGAAATGTTATGAATCCTGCATCTATTCTGGCTCACGTTTGACAACAGTTCGCCGTAATTTAGAAAAAAGGTAAATTGATAATGGTGGGGGGTTTTTACACATGGATTATGGCAATTTTGAGATAAGTCTTTTAATAGTTTTCTTCAATAGTGTTTTTAATAAATACATGTTTGAATGCTACTAAACCACGTTTTTTTCATCCCCATAAATGTTTCATAGCATTGATAATTTTACAAATTTACTGTAACGGGAGTGTAATTGGGGCATTATTTTTGAGTAACGAGAGTCTTGTTGAGATATGGTTGATGCTACAGTGTGAAATGAAAATGTTAATTTGTATCAGCTTACATAGCAATAGTCCCAAGAGATATAGCTCAACTGGTCTAATGGCAATCTTCCTACTTGTGAAATACAAGTGCAAATCCCCAACAGGCTCAACTCAGTCCATCATCCCTAAAGGGGCGAATAGATTGATCACTGCCTGGTTGACATAGCATAATTTGGTAGGAAGATAATGATGTCCTAGAGCTAAATATATATATTTTTTACTCTTGTCCCATTAGTTCAGGTTGATAGTTTTTGTCCTTTATCTCCAAGCCGTCCTGTCCTGTACAACGTGAAATCTTCCACCAAACTTCTTCATGTCGTTCAGCATCCTAAATTAAAAAAAAATTCTGGATCTTCTTCCTCGTCTTTGTCTCGTAGCCACTGGGGAGCGCTAGAAACTGGGCAACCTCAAATCATCTTCCAAATAATAAGTATCAGGTATAATTTTAAAGGTAATTATCTACGGTTTTAGAAAACATAGCTTATTTATGGAATCATTTGCTAGTTTCATACGGACAGAACTAATTGCACTATCACCATCCAAGCGTAGGTGAAGAAGTCTGTCAATCTGAGTGCATCTGACACTGTTAATGTAAGAGAATGTCTCGCTTGCCAACAAAAATGTTTCTATCTGACATACTCTGCCCATGTGTAAAGCACTTTATGATCATCCTATTGACTACCAACATGTCTTTGAAATGTTTAAGTGTACATCTGAAATCATCGATCTGCCCCACTCGATCTTGTACTACTTGGACAACATCCTGCATCTTGTCTTCTCACATGACCCAGCCAACTCTGTCGATACTCGCCCATCATGGCTCCTACTGAGGGCTTAATTTGTCACTGGTCGGCTGGAAAAGGCACATGCCTCATAACCATTGCCATAGCATGGATGTGGTGTGCCCGGTGTGGTCATATTTTCTGAATCGACAACTCAGACAGACCCATACTAAATAAGGCCTGCTCCTCCTGTTTTGTTGCAAAGCCGACCAGCTCTCATGCAACCCAGTGTCAATATTAACTTTTCGGCGGTGTCAAATAGCTCTCTCTTCCTCAATTGGCAACATTTTAACCCAAAAGTAGTTTATCGCCTAATCAAAGTCTTAAAATCGACGGACAGATGAGTCTCTGCCAAAAGAACTTGAAATTTCCACGAATGGTTTCAGACTTGCAATGCTTTGAGCAGCGTCCGATGCCCGTGTGAGTTACGTGTGTACAAATACAACTTTTTAAAACGCTTCAATGTTTTTTTTTTCACAGTTTTCCATATTACTGTACCAAAAGGCACTTTTGGCTATGAATGAAACTAAATGCCAACGAATGTCATATTTTGTGACTGGTGTCTTGGAATGCCTGTACTTGTTGTGGAATCTGCCCGCGTTGGCCATGAGCTCTTTGCGGTTGTGTGTCCCGAAGGCTGGTGAGGCGGAGGGCGAGGCGCCGGCAATCATTGCAGAGGCATTGCCGCGGGGCCACCATTTTGCCAAACCTGCTCACAGGGGTGGTGAAGACCAAAGGAAAAAAGTGAACATTTAATCAACTTAAAAATAGATCTTCTCCCCATTAAGGAGAGTGCGTACTGCGATGGCCTAAATGTGTATCTGTATATATGTCATAACTGTTAGAGCGGAAGTGCAGTTGTTAGTACACTGCGCTACAAACACACTGATCCGAGTTCCATTCCTGACCATGGCTAACATCAGTGGTGAATATAACACATAGGCTTTCACGACCAATATCATCCATAATATAGGTATTTTGGGTTAGATCGAGTAAATATAAATGTGTCGTTAAACCCGCCTCGACCTGTCGCCTGATGAAGTGAGTTGTAATTACTGGCGAAACGTTGTACTCAGAATGTAAATGTTGTGGAATTGCTCTCCAACATGCCGGTGTGCTGTACTGTAACGAATTGGCATGTTCTGTTTACTTGACAAACTTTACGAATTGTCTTTATCAGGTGGTCGCGGGTTTAATAACACATTGTGACTGATGTCTTGGAATGTGATCTAACCCAAAAAAAAATCTATTTTCAGTGGTGAATCTCTGCACTGGTCTTGCGCCCCCCTAAGTGACTAGGCCTAAAATATTAAGATGTGTAAACATCAGCACTTTGGAAATAAAGGTGCCTGGGTGTGTTGTTGCCCACACCATCCCATCATGCACCATGGTGACCGCACCACCCCTTTGTATGCCGTACCGACCTTAATAGGTGCTCACTAACAGCACTCTCCCCAACAGAGTATGTAAGCTATGGAGAATCTTTTTTTTTGTCTCCTAATGAAATCCACTTGTATGATGCGTACACAAGTGCATTCGTGTTTGCTAGCCTTTTGTAATGATTACTTTAATTATGAAAGTGCATAAACAGTGTCGTTTTCTGTGATTGAATTAAGCATTTGTGGTGATAAAGGTGGTCACTACATACTTGCATGATTTATTTCCGTGAATTAGTTCTCACGCATTCTACTTGCTTAAAAATTGTATTCAATTTGATGATGGGAAATTCACTGTATGTATACATACGTTGTATGCATAACAATCGTGCACTATGAAGACAGGTCTTTGCCTGAAATGTCACCGATTATAAATATTTACGACTGTTGTGTTTATTAATGTATGTACGTTGAACTTAAATATTGACTTAAAGCTTTCGTGACTGCAGGAATTCATAATCGTTGGGTCTTTTGGTAAAGTCACGTAGTTTGGTTAAAAGAAAATAACAAAAAAACACGACGTTTGGATCGCAACACAAGCGGTCGTCTTCAGGAAAGAAAAATAACTACGACGTTTCGATCGCAAAGGGTCTTTTCCTGAAGACGGCCGCTTGTGTTGCGATCGAAACGTCATAGTTTTTTGTTATTTTCTTTGAACCTATCTACGTGGCTTTACCAAAAGACCCCAAGAATATGTTGAACTTCTTTTGCACCGTATGTAGCCAACCGTGCTAATCGGAGGTATGCATACTAACAACCACTCGTGATATGTCCTCTGCTTATTGGCTTTCGTGTCACTTCATTGAAGGTGAATGACTTAGTTTACTGGTGGTGAGGATCGTGTGTTTACAAGCGTTAAACATGAAATGTAAAGCATTGTGCAGAACTTCAGTCTGATCCATCATACGTGTGAAACCAATCAATGTCAGGGCCGTTACAATCGAGCATAGGCTCGATTGCCTTTATGCCAAATTTTAAGTATTTAGTCCTTTCAGAAGATAATTATAATTTAGATCAGTCACTTATGGTAATCTGTGCCAAATTCTATATTTATAATAAAAAAGGGTTGACGTACGAATAATTCTCAAATAGTAAATATATGAGGAAATTACAATTGTAAGGCTGAAGCAGAAACTGGATGTAATCACATTAATACAAATATATTAGTTGTCTATCCATCATTTTTATTTATGTAATAATACAAAAAATGAAGTACAATTACTAACAATTTGGAATCAATATAGCAAATATTGAATTCACACTAAATGTGTATTTCTATCTCACATCATGGATATAATTAAAAACGCCTTTGTATTTTGACTCCTGCAATATTTGGGACATATTCCAACAAAGATGGGAAAAATACCGCAGGCGGGAAATTTCTTGCTATAACTTTCACAGAAAATTTTCACGGATAAAAAAAATAGTAATCCAGTTTTCTTTTTAGAAATCACTGTCACTGAACACATTCTATAGATTGTGATACTTTAGCCCATGTAAGAAGATTGAAACCGACCGATTATTTTTTATTGTATGGCACAAGTGTTTCGGAAGCATGTTGTAAAATTGTAGTATAGTTCCATTAATGGTAAAGGTATTGATCTGCATTTTCTTGCATACGCCACTGCTGGTGGAATGTCCTCTAGAGGGAGCCCTAGAGAGCCCCTCGAGAGTGTATTTGGCCTACTCTTCCATGACGACCAGCCATCTTGGATGAGGTGGGAGTACTCACCAGTTACCCCCACCACACGTGACCTGCCGATCAACTAACTGCGGAGTACCTGTACCCGTTTTTCTTATACGGTACTGCTTGGTGGACAGAGGGCAGTGGGTAGGAGGGGGGGCGAGATTAAAAACAACTTGCACTAGTTTCAACTGCTGCGCCAGAGGGTTGCATTATTGGTGACATTCGTGTAATTTTAGGTATGTAACAATTGAGGGTTAGATTTAAGTATTGATAATTTTCCATCTTTTTGCATCTAGTAAATTTTAGTCTAATTTTTTTCCGTCTCATACAAGTTTAGTTCCTTCCACTGTCCCAACCTGGCAATGGTAAATCACCTTCATAAAGTGTAAATGTGTCAATTATTTTGATCTCTATGTTTGTCAATTTATTTGCAATGTAATATTCAATATGAAACATGACTGACAAGTTTTCAGACAAACTACCATGGCATTTCACGCTCACGTGTTAAGTCTTTACATGTGTGTGCAAGCTCTCTTCCTCCCTACCGCCAGCATACTAAGCTGCCAGTCATTGTGCCATACACCTGCGAGTATTCACTTTCAGGGCCAAGCTAAGCCATTTCAAGGACACCCGTAAACATTTCATTGTTTTATTTTATGTTCCGTACACCGAGGATTGGAATGCCACCAATTCAAAAAGCTGAAATAAAATGTTCCATATTTTGTGATCATTGTACTGTATATTCAACACTTACAGTCCTGTGTGAATAATTCACTGCTGGATGAAGGCCTCTCCATGTTGTGTTGGTGATGGAAATTGTGTGAACATACTTCACTACTGTGATCAGTGTGGGTTGGTGAAGTTGTTTGCCAATTGGGGGGGGGGGGGGGAGGCTGCAGAACCGGTTTAGATATCACGCGCCACCAATGCGAGGCGCGATTGAGAATCAAACTCGGGATACAAGGGTGGCCAGCTTCGTTGTGCAGGGTGCTAAGCACTTCATTATGCTTCACTCCAGTGTTTACGCCGCACAGCTCTCCTCGCAACTCTCGTCCCCCGCCCACTCACTTTGGAAACCCTTATAAGCAATTGCATTTGGAGGCTTGCCCCCTCTTTTCTCTCCGCCTGATGAAGACCGCTTGTGTTGCGATCGAAACGTCGTGGGTTTTTTGCTTTTATTATTTTCTATTTATTTTACATTTTATTTTATTTTCTATCTACGCGACTTTACCGAAAGAACCAAGAATAGTAATAACTGCAGTCACGAAAGTTTAAGTCAAAATGTAAAATCTCAAAGCCAGGAAATGTCATGGTGGGTGAATATGATTGTGACCTATATTAGTAAAGTGCTAATTACAGCAATGTTATTTATCACCTTTAAAATGGGTGTTTGCGAATGGGACCAATGCGGTGTACCTGCCATGCCCCACAGGAGAGAGGTTAGTGAAAGCATTGTTTTACTGGCGTTATTAACATGTTCATTATATCTCTATATATAAAACACTTCAATCAAGTGGTGTTGCTAAGTAAACATTCCAAGCTAGCGTTTATAATTGATGGGACACTGGGGGTTCTTTTGTTGGCGTGATAGCAAAAAAGAGCAGAATACTACTTTATGAGAGCAAGAGTTGAATCGATGCTCACTTTGTGCCGTGCAAGCAAATGTCGGGTTCATCATATACAACGTGCACCTGCCCAATGTTGACAATATTCACTAAGTACAATAGGAGCTGCATTTTCTCAATATAAGTATACACTTTTGTACACATTTTCAGTGAAGTTAACACTTTATTAAGTGCACAAATTATCTTTTGGGATGTGTAATGTCTGTAACAAACGGTGCCCTTTCTTAATACCCTGCAGTGTGAAATTACAGTTAAATGCTCAAGTTGATGTAATTTGTTGAAAACGCTAAGGAGGCTATCATTAGTATGCTGTCATCTCAATGTAAACTGGGGTTGCATTGTCGTATTAGTACAACAATAAGGATACGCCATTTCATATTTGACATACTGTACAGCATCAAACCTTTAGAATTGTGTACGTATCACAATGTTGTGCATGGGTGTTGCCAAATAGGGCGATCCATTTATAGATGCCCCACACACATGTCTAATGACACTTTTCTCAACAGATTGAATATTGGGAAAGTGATGGCTACATATTTGAGGGCGTTTTAAAATAAATATTTCAATATTGTAGAGGTTGGTGGAGTATCTATTAATGGATCATCCTGTAATCTGGAGAGAGAAAAACATCACCATGTAGCTGAGAGTAAAATGGTTTATTTTATACATTCTGGCGTGTAATTTTATTCAGCTGCCAATTATCCGTACAATTGGCACGCAAGTGTACTGTGCTTTCAACTGCACTCTAATAACAAAATTTTAAATACAAATTTTATTTAACATTTGGCTAAAGGCAATTTATGCAGTTTTTTTTAAAAAATATTGAAATATACTGTCTAAAGGTAAAGCCGTAAGGTATAACTTTAATGTTATAGTACGCTTATCTTATGGCCTCAGTTTCTCCAACTTAAGAATGATTCACTGCGCGCACTCCAAATTTGAAAAAAGGCATTTTCCATGAGCCTGCGATGCAACAATCCATCATGCGCTGGTTTAACCACTCATCTTTGTGGTACGTTCTCTCTTTCAGCGGATGTGTTCCGCTCGTCCACTTTTCTTCATTCAATACGACGTCTCTAACTTGTGTATGCTCTCTGATCTTCGTGTTGGTGTTTTTGTGCCCCAATGGTAATGACAAGCGTGTACCTTGCCACGCTTGTTTGCATACCTGTCAGATGTTGATTCATTTGCCATAGCAGGTAATATACATTGTTTATAAACTTGCCCCTTCAGATGCATTGGTATGTACCTTTTCATTCGTAAGTTCGTTTTTCTAAAGCGATCCAGCCTATTGTCGTCCACCTCTTTATTTCACGATGATTTTGATTCTGGTCCACTATAAATAATTGCCAGCGGGTGCGCATGCTTTAATTTCTTTTACAATTGTGCCCCTCCACCAGACATCTTTAATTTTGTCACGAAATTGTATGTGATTTCTCGTAATTTATTTTGAGCCCATATTTGCGGCCTTTAAAAAAAAAAACCTTTCAACTTCAGTATATTACCATTACGACTATCATCAGAACATCTGAAATGGCCAATATATACATTTTTATGAATCTATGTTTATGCCTTAATAGTTCTAATTTTATTTTCAGAAAACACCTATTGTTGTGACTTCATTTGGAGAAAGTGTGTATTGTTAGTATGACTCGCCTTTTAACATGTATTTTTCTGCTTATATCACGAAATAAACGGAAGTTATTCCGGTTCTTGTAAATGGGTAATAATAATTTTAAAAATGTATATTTAGAATTTTCTTCGTAAAAGCTTGCGTGGATACATCAATTTCCACTGATTCATGCCTTTTAATAGTTGACAGAAGGATAGGCGCATTGGTATTTAATACCCATTTGTATTTTTTCCAGATGTATAGGTTAGAAGATGTGATGGATGGCAGACAATCCTTTCCTAAACCCAGCTTGCTCATGTGGTTTTAGGCCGATACAGTTTCCGTTTTTCTGTTTCCAGGGTTCTTCGTGAATGATTTATATACACGCGATAAGAGACTAACGTGGAATATGAATGGAATGAAAAACTGATCAATTTCCGAGTGAGAATAAAACGCATTCAGACATTATAGTCAATGATATAAATGTAGGTGCATTGAGCTGAGGGTTATTCTTAAGTATGCCATTGCGGTGAGGAATGGGAGGTGAGTCAAGTTTGCATCCGGCAAGGATATGAAGATAATGATTTAAACAAAAAAAAGGCATCTAGGTGAGTGGTGTGTGGAGCCCAAATGGTGAAATTAGAAACGAGCTATTCTCAATGTTATCTTGCGAAACCCAGATTGTCAAACGTCTCTGTCCTCAACGCATTAAAAACAGGAAGTGACCACAGACTGCTCTGCGATGTTACAATTCAACTTGGCCAGAAGGCGCAGATAATGCCAGGAAAAACCCAGATACAGTAGTTAACATAAAACAATATGGGTTGGGAGGTAGCCAATTTTAGACGAACTGTAAACATTCAAATTCACGGATAAAAATTTATAATATGCGTGTCATCACTCACTAATGCAACTAAATCGTATGATAGTAAATAATGCATTGGAACGGTGGGGGGGGGGGCTATGTTTAACAGCAAATTGTCTGAAACTATAGAAGACGTGTTGAGGAAGAAGAGATACAGAAAGAGACGGAGAAACTAAGCAAAATATTAAATACGCAGAACGCCGTGAGGCGATTAAAAAAAATACATTTAGAAAAATAAATCGGGAGAACCAACAAAAAAAATGGTTGTCCTAGCCAAGCAATGTGAGCATGAAGAGAACGGCAAAAAGATGCTTTTTATTTCCCTTGGCAAATCCCCAGATGGTAAAAAAAAAATATACATGGAACCATAAACACGATGTTGCCACAGACACACAAAAAACGCTGAATATGTTTTATTTTTTATGTTCAAACAAAACATTTTTACCTCATTACCGCGCGCCGAGATGACCGGGTGTGTGTGTGTTTGTGTGTTACATATACACGCGCGCGCGTGCGTGCGTGCGACATACAGTAGAGACTCACGCGTACAGAGTATAAGTAATAATACCTATATATGCATGCTTGGTCCGTGCCTGTTGGTGGTGGTGGTGGTGTTGGTGGTGGTGGTGCAGGCTGACTGTGAGGGTTGTTCGGAGGTCGAGACGTGAATCCGCCGCCGCCACTGCCACCGCCGCCGCCAGCGAGACGGCTCACGAGGCGGCTCACGCGCGCAGGGAGCCGCCGCCGCCGCTGCCGCCGCTGCGCGCCGAGGCGCTGAGGAGGAGGCACGCGGCGGTTGCCCTGGCGATAGCCGCCTACCACCAGCACCAACACCACGCGCTGACGTGCGGCGCACCGTCCTACATTGTGTGGCACTGGTAAGTCACAGACTTTTTTTTACGTAAATTTAAACGCGTGTGACCCATTTTTCGCTTCACACGCCAATTGCACGACGTTGCTCTTCTCTCGCGTGCTCTCTCGCTCACTCGCTCGCTCTGGTCTTCTCATTGTGTGCGTGCGTGTGTGTATATGTCGTGGCTTTGCACGGCCAACACACACACACACACCGGTGTGTTGCTGTACTCAGTAACGAATTGGAACGTTATGTTTACGTGACAAACCTTACTAATTGTCCGTGGCGGGTTTAACGACACGTTTATACTGGTAGGAACGAAGTTGTAGTTGAGTGTACCAGCCTGCAATAGATTAATGTGTCCGTCCGTCCCCTTTCAATACTTTAACGAAGTGAAATCTCGTGCTGTTGGGTGTAAAATCAGCAATAGACAGCGCAGAGACTTGATATGTCTTATTGCACCCAACATTTGGAAGTCACATTCTTTCATTTGCGAACTTCGCTTTTGGGGATGTTTTGCACAATTTTACGTAACAATGTCCCTAAAATTGCGCAAAATTCCAATGTTCCTACCAGCCCACCCTGCAGGGACCTGTGACATTTACGCGATTCTAACCCAAACAAAATCCGCATTACGGATATTGGTCGCGAAAGCCTACGTGTTGAACTGTGTGCGCGCGCGCCCCTCTTAAATAAAAGTCAAAGCAATTAATAAGGCAATCGTGCTAATGGGGCCCTGGTGTGTCTTGCCGTCAATTGTTTCGATGGGGTTGCGGTGACCATGCGTTTGACAAATGTGTAAGAGAGCCTTATTTCCCGACTGGGATTTCACCAAGTTGTTAAGGGTCACAGAGTCAGTTTTAAATCAGCATGTAGAGCAAATAATGCATTGTTATAAGAATACGCTTTTGAACCGTCTCTCGGTTCATATACAATTCTCTCAAGTGTCAGGTGCTTCTGTGACATACCCAGGTGTGAAATAATGTATGCTTAAGATACAGGCGTTTTTGGTTTCATATTGAATAGCTCCAGTACAATTCCCTTAAACCTCAAATGTATTTAATTTGTTCACCCGAGGACTTTCCTTAGGTACCAGACATTATGCATCAGAATGATAAAAAAATCTTACGAGTTCAATGCCCGATGGCCTTGCTGTTTTGGAACACAATTGTCACATCTTTGATTGATTGTGTATTCAAGTGGGTTGAATTTCATTTTTTCTCTCATGCTAATTCTGGCGGAAGGTCTCCACTAGAGGGCGATCTCTAGTATCCATCTTCGTTGGTTCTTTCGGTAAAGTCACGTAGAATGAGAATAAAATAACTCACGTTTCAGCCACAACGCAAGCGGCCGTCTTCAGGTGAAAGGTACAGAACTGTCGGGACGACAGATCTTCAATGAACGATGTTAAGATTCGTAGCGACTTTTAAGCTGGTTGGGAGAAGTGAGGCACCTTGACAAAGGGGTTTACATATCAAATAACTGAGGGATTAGCTATCATTGAAGCTCTGTCGTCCCGACAGTTCTGTACCTTTCACCTGAAGACGGCCGCTTGCGTTGTGGCCGAAACGTAGTGAGAATTATATTGTGTTATTTTATTCTCATTCTACGTGACTTTACCGAAAGAACCAAAGAAGATGAATCCTTGCAGTCACGAAAGCTTCAAATCGAAATCTAGTATCCATGTTTCATATACAGTACTTTATATCAGTGAATGGTATTGGGAAATAAGAGCAAGAGAGGGAGCTCTATAAAGCCCCTCCAGAGGGTATTTTGTCCGGCTCTTCAACACTGGCCAGGTATCTTTGAGGTTCTACGAATATCCATTTTATATATATATAATTAGTGGTTGCATAACAGGTCCCTGCAGGGTGGGCTGGTAGAAGTTCGCAAATTAGATAATGTGACTTCCAAATGTTGGGTGCAATAAGACATCAAGTCTCTGCGCTGTCTATTGCTGATTTTACACCCAACAGCACGAGATTTCACTTCGTTAAAGTATTGAAAGGGGACGGACGGACACATTAATCTATTGCAGGCTGGTACACTCAGTTTACAACTTCGTTCCTACCAGTATAATGTAACCGATATAATTCACTGTATTACACGTTTCAATTGAAACCTTTGTCCATTACTCTGAATCAATAGCCTTGCTTTATATTCCAAACAAGTATTTTCGTTGGTTGAGTGATATTTTGTAGTACTGCATTACATTGAGATTCTGATTAAAGCCGTTTAATGTAATATTTTGATTAAAATCAGTACAATCTTGATACATTTACCAAGAGTTGTATTTATACAATCAGAACCTTATACTGCACTAAATGCACGTGTTGTTTTCCAGATTGAAGAGGCCTGCAGAATCCAGGACAATACTGCCTTTCCCCCCCACCCATTTCATTTGTCTACACGTTGCGCTATTGTGGAGCACAAAATTCGTCCGAGTATGTAAGTGCTTGACTGCTTGCTGGGTGCATTGTGTGCTTCTACGTGACCTAGATTGATGCTTAAACGTGGATAAGCAAAATGCACACACTTTACTGTGCAATTGGCTTTAACACTTGGGGGCATAACAATGTACCAGAACTTCTGCACGAGCAGTTATTGATGCCGACTAGGACAAATGGATAGGCCGAGAGTGGCTTGTGTTTAATTCATGATCACAAACTAGATTTTCTCGATTCGTGGTTTCCAACTTGTGGTATGCGGACTACTGGACTACTGGTAGTCCGCAATGCTGTGGGACGTGATTCACAAAACTGATGGAGATTAAAAAAAATTCCACATGGTCTGCAATTTCATATTGAGGATTGTGAATGGTTCACGAGTTTGGGAACCACTGTTGTACAGCATTGCTCCTATTATTTAATATCAGGAGTCTTTGTAGCATGTCACCATTCAGATACATTTACCAAGAGTTTCTATGTTGATGTTATTTTTGTTGTTAGTTTTTACTTCTACTATTTTGCACTATAAAAAAGTTTGTAATTGTTTTGCTTCAAAGATACGTCTAAAGTAATGCACATAAAACAAACAATATATACGTAAATTCCAGTACATTATTAGATGTTTTTTTAGGTTTTCCACTGCAGCAGTGATTCTTAACTAGGATGGTGTTGTCTTTCAGAACACATTTATATTTGACGGGATCTCAGAAAAGGTGTAATATACATTACTTGTCGGCTAATAGTGCTTTACAACGATGTCGTTATACAATAGAATTGCACTGCTACAAGACAAACTGCTAAACATTTGCATTGCGCGCTTGTATAAATTTCATGCCTTGTAGTTTTACAACTTTTAAATTAGTATGTCAAAATAGAATTAAAATGTACTGGAATGTTTGTTGAAAATTGTGAAATAAACATTTTACGGGCATAACACACAAATGTTACGTTTTCTTTACATGTTAAACACAATGTGAAAAATGCAAAATTGGTTACGCTTTCCATGCAGTCATGTGCACAAGTGTTGGTTTATTGTTAAAGCTCCTGCAACATACACTTAATACTTAAATTTGCAATAAAAATAAGCATTTATTTCCATTAGTTCACTGCAGCATGTTTTTCACTTTCCATAATATTTCAACATATACAGTCAAAGGAATTTTAATCAAGCTTGTTGATTTTTTTGGACAATCTGACAAATTGTTTCTTTCTGTTACTGTGAACATATGCAGTTTTACCAAGTCAAGTTTTACTCAGGTTTTCAGCACAAAAGCTACCACAGCTTTTTTTTCTCTCACCGTGGAAAGGTTTAACTGATATTTGGAAATTCGTAAAAAAAACAGCGGTTTCCTGGAGCCGAGAAAATGGCCATTAGTATTGCTGGTTTGAGTGCAGAGAATTGAAAACCCACTTGTTACATCACTGTTGGAATCTAATTGTTGTACACGACAGTAACTTGTTCAAGACCTGGACTGAAACCAAGACCTGTATCTGATTTCTGCCGTCAGGGAAATGCTGCGTAGTGTGTCGACAATGGAATGGATACTAAGTTAATGGTTATTAATCAGTGTAATTTATATAGGATATATAAAATTACAACTCATGCAAAATTGTACAACAGAAAAGTGTGTATTGATTTATCCAGTTGGATTTTTAAATACACAACCATGAAACTATTGTTCGTTTGAACGATTATAATAACTAGCCAATGTTATTTTTAAAGTAACTAGCTAGTGGCATATCAATAGGCTGGCTAATAAATTCACCGCAAAATGTATGATCATTATAAATGCAAATACAACTGCACACAGGCCAACCTTAAAGAACATTCTACTCAGCGAGCACTGCAAATGTTGGGAGCCATAATCAGAAGCTTAACACTGTAGTATGATGTTCATTTTTAGATTTGACTACCATTGCCATATCTTAATTGAACATAGCTTAGTGAGGGAAAAAAGTATTTGATCCACTGCTGATTTTGTACATTTGCCCACTGACAAAGAAATGATCAGTCTATAATTTTAATGGTAGGTTTATTTGAACAGTGAGAGACAGAATAACAACAAAATCCAGAAAAACGCATGTCAAAAATGTTATAAATTGATTTGCATTTTAATGAGGGAAAAAAGTATTTTACCCCCTTTCAATCAGAAAGATTTCTGGCTCCCAGGTGTCTTTTATACAGGTAACGAGCTGTTACCTGTATAAAAGACACCTGTCCACAGAAGCAATCAATCAATCAGATTCCAAACTCGCCACCATGGCCAAGACCAAAGAGCTCTCCAAGGATGTCAGGGACAAGATTGTAGACCTACACAAGGCTGGAATGGGCTACAAGACCATTGCCAAGCAGCTTGGGGAGAAGGTGACAACAGTTGGTGCGATAATTCGCAAATGGAAGAAACACAAGAACTGTCAATCTCCCTCGGCCCAGGGCTCCATGCAAGATCTCACCTCGTGGAGTGCAATGATCATGAGAACGGTGAGGAATCAGCCCAAAACTACACGGGAGGATCATGTCAATGATCTCAAGGCAGCTGGGACCATAGTCACCAAGAAAACAATTGGTAACACACGCCTTGAAGGACTGAAATCTTGCAGCGCCCGCAAGGTCCCCCTGCTCAAGGAAGTACATATACATGCCCGTCTGAAGTTTGTCAATGAACATCTGAATGATTCAGAGGACAACTGGGTGAAAGTGTTGTGGTCAGATGAGACCAAAATGGAGCTCCTTGGCATCAACTCAACTCGCCGTGTTTGGAGGAGGAGGAATGCTGCCTATGACCCCAAGAACACCATCCCCACCGTCAAACATGGAGGTGGAAACATGCTTTGGGGGTGTTTTTCTGCTAAGGGGACAGGACAACTTCACCGCATCAAAGGGACGATGGACAGGGCCATGTACCGTCAAATCTTGGGTGAGAACCTCCTTCCCTCAGCCAGGGCATTGAAAATGGGTCGTGGATGGGTATTCCAGCATGACAATGACTCAAAACACATGGCAAGGCAACAAAGGAGTGGCTCAAGAAGAAGTGGAGTGGCCTAGCCAGTCTCCAGACCTTAATCCCATAGAAAATCTGTGGAGGGAGCTGAAGGTTCGAGTTGCCAAACGTCAGCCTCGAAACCTTAATGACTTGGAGAAGATCTGCAAAGAGGAGTGGGACAAAATCCCTCTTGAGATGTGTGCAAACCTGGTGGCCAACTACAAGAAACGTGTGACCTCTGTGATTGCCAACAAGGGTTTTGCCACCAAGTACTAAGTCATATTTTGCAGGGGGGTCAAAAACTTATTTCCCTCATTAAAATGCAAATCAATTTATAACATTTTTGACAAGCGTTTTTCTGGATTTTTTTGTTGTTATTCTGTCTCTCACTGTTCAAATAAACCTACCATTAAAATTATAGACTGATCATGTCTTTGTCAGTAGGCAAACGTACAAAATTAGCAGGGGATCAAATACTTTTTCCCTCACTGTATCAGAATGATTCCCCACAATAAAAACGCCTCAGCCCTTAAGAAACTCAGCAGCCAATCACAACCGCTGTTATAGATTTTATTTATTTCAGCTGGAAGGGCCCAATGAGCTGTTGGGCTCCATTTACTCAGCATAAACATCCTGCAATGTGGGACCATATTGTAAAAAAATAGTGGTAATTGCTGGATGTGTTGTCAAATCAGAAGTTGTGCACAGTTCAAGGTTGACCTTTTCTTAAAACCTTCACTTCCCTTATCCCCAGAACAGATATTTATGATGTGCCACTAGACTTATGCAGTTAAAATACAACAGCAGTTATCTCAATGAAAAATATTCAGAAAAAAATACTTGAATACAGATTTATTACTGAATGTAACAATTTTGTTTTAATAAAGATTTTAGAAATGCAAATGTCGACTAAATTCCACAGATCACACTTAACATTTATACAGTATAGTACATAGCTTACCTTACGGTACACAAAAGCAACACAAAGCCACAGTTGAGAAGAGCATGTTTGCGTAAACACTCAAACATTAGTGACAGCAGGGGTTATTTACAGCTAATATAGCCACTGTGCTCCTAAGTAAAAAATTCTGAAATTAAAGGATGTAATTTAACTTATCCCTTTGGTGAACTTTAAATAACCATATTTAGATGACACAAGGTAATGTTTTCCATACATAATATTACTGATAAGGCTTGGTTAATTTACTTTCCACATTCAGATTTGGTGAAGACACGGAAAATTAGGTACAATTATGACCAAAATATCACATTTAAATCAGTACAATATATTCCTCCTTTTAACCTGAGGCCTTTAAGCAGCACCTACACAGCACAACAGACCTGGGGTCAATAACAATTGTAATTGTCTCATTTATAATTCAATTCAACCCATAATGCAAATTGTAAAACAATTTTACGGTGTTTGTAATTACAATTGCCCCCAGGTTTGGAGTGTAAAAAGAAAAGCAAATGCCTATGCGACGAAGCAATTATCACTTTTAAGCTTACTTTGAGTAACTGTATCCAAGCGTTGTAAACGGCGTACATTTGGCTCTTGGCTAATGCCTTAAATAACCCCTGATGAAGGTCGGTTAAACTCACAAGGCTTCAAAATCACGAGTCTGAATCGGCCGTTGTTGCTTGAGTCATCGTAGTACCTGTCACTAAAATTGTTACATGACGCTGCAGCAGGAATTTTGTTTTCGAGCCTAAAACGAAAACAACACGTTCATTAGAGTAAATGCAGCAGCAGCAGCAGGTCAAAGCAAAATATCCTTCACGTCACCAATAACCTAACCTTTAAAAATAAGTAAAGATGTTAATATGTACAGAATGTGAAGACTGTTAATTTCACATGGAAGGATATGTAAACATTAATTTTATTGATAGCAAACAAATAAGTCGAAACTGATGAAAATAAATGATGTACAAGTCTTTGTGAAGAGTCACCGTTTTGTAGAAGGTTTTGGACTGAAGGCTGAGGTGATCCGACTTGGAGACCAAATCATCGAGTTTTTCTCCTCGTTGAAGAAGCGACTCCATGGTATGGTGCTGCAGAAACAGAGTAAATGTTTCCATCGTACACACTACTGAGATGCAAGCAACTGCTCGTCATCAAAGCTCAATGTGGCACATTCACTTTGTAAACCTATAGCATTGAAAGACACAAACCACTGACCAATATGACTTTTGTTTCGTCCAGCTCTGCTTGCACCTTCGTCATAGCGTCTGCTTCCTTTGGGTTCTGCCAAAAATAATCGTCTTCAACTTTCACTCTTCATATTGAGACACATTTTTTTACTTATGGGTGTGGGACAGGACAAGTACAAACACTATTAATCGTACATATACATACGGAAATGTGAATACCTGGTATTTTGCAAGGTAGGCATCTAGTCCTTCAAAGATTGTCGATGCTGGAGAGCCTCCGGGCCAGTCTGTACTTTTCACCTGCATAGAAAACTCCTCCAAAACCTTTAGAATAATCAGAGGAACAGGGTAAGCATGTATGCATCTTAAATGTTCAGACGTATATATATACATTAGTAAAGACTAGAGTTCAGATTAGTCGATACTCGGTGTCCCTGACAAAGATATTCTGACATTTACCATAAAATACTTAATCGAGTGCAAATAAAAACAGAAGGGGGGAATGCGGCCATGGTGTGTTGCTTAGCACACTGTACATGCAAACCAGAGATTACTGGTTTGATCTCCCGGTACGGCAGTTGAAAACGTCTTAAACCCGCTTGTCCACCCAGCAGTTGAAATGGGTTAATGGGTATATTTAATTAATTGATCAGTATGTCATGTGTGGTGGGGTAAAAGTGTAGATACATCTCCCTTTTCCAAAACGTCTGGTCAGCGTCGAAGAGTAGGCCAAAATATACTCTCAATGAGCTCTCTAGAGCTACTTGTAGAGGCTGTTATGCTAGGAGTGGCATGAGCAAGAATTTTAAGGACTGCACATTTACCTTTATGATTCAAAACAGCGGCTAATATTTTCAAGCTACCTCTGAATCGCATGATATTGGCTGCATTGCTTGTTTGCTTGTGATAAGTTGCATTTCAGTGCCATGATTTACGTGCTATGAAGAAGGGCTATTGCCAAAAACGTCGCCTACTATACACTGTTCTCCATTTAAGGCAGTGTTGTTGACAAATGTCTTGGATGTCAGTGGCTGATCCTGAGAGAGCGACTCATGTTTACAATGTAAATGTGGCACACTTTCACTTGCCTTGCCGAGAAGAGAGAAGCAGACCCGTGATGGATATTCATGATCTGCCACAACCACTCCTGCCAGCCCATCCTCACGTACATGAACATGACAGAAGTAATCTGTAATCAGTTACAATGAGAGCAATTAATGCATTAATCCTGCAAATCCCAAAACAAGACCAATAAGCATAGCATGTTCTTCACAGTTCTGCCAGATAAGTGCCTGTTAAGAGTAAAATTGTATTTTTCGAGGATTTGGTTCTAAAGTCAAATGTACAAACATTTTAAGTTAAGTGCTAAAAAACCTAAACACCACAATAATGTTTTTTTAACGTTAAAATACAATAGTTTTATAAACCAATCATGCTAAGCAATCATTGTCACAAATATATAATGTTCTACCTTGTTCCTTTACAGAAGCACGACTGCATCTGTTTGTCCTCTCCACAATGATTTGACTCGTAAAAGCCAGAAATTCCTGTACACTGTACAGAAACAGGTGCATGTTTATACAAGAAAGATTTTAAAAAATGTGAAACACATTGGCTATTCTTTATTTAAGCACAACGTGTCCCCCTAATTTTCAGCAACTGCCGTGAATCTGGCTATGCATGTGATCACATGGATGACTTGTGACTTTGTGTGTAAATTTTAGCACGTATCAAATGCCATTAAGAAAAATTACAACAGTAATCCTTCGCCAACTAATTAAGTGCAACGCCCTTCCAAAGACATTTTACGTGCCAACAAATTTTGTAAAAAGGAAACATTTTGAATGTATAATTTAAAGTGTTAACATAAATGGTTCATTAATAGACAAAGACCCCCCCCCCCCCCATATCGCCTTAACAGACTGTAGGAGCAAGCGTTGTTAGTGGCCACTTTCACTTACCAACCACGCATATTGTGACAAACATTGCATACCTGAAATACATACATAACCAACCTCATGCCCATGTCAATAACATTTAAAAACTGTTACAGAATCACAATGTTATACCTAGACCGCTGAAAAAACCCAAATGATGAGACATCGTAGGCAGCTTTTAGGAGGTTTGCTTTGTTTTCTCCTTTGTAGAGGACGCTCAAGCAGTACAGCTTCATGCTTGTTTTTTCCACTTGAACTTGCCTATCTTCTCCAGCACTGCAAGTAAATATTCACGAAGAGCATTAACTTGATGATCGAATCGATTTTTGGTATCCTTTGCAGTATCAATGATAGCCCAAAGTGAAGATGAAAATATCACAACATGCACTTCGTGTTTCGACTCCAGTCAAGTCGCTGTACTACAATATTAAAGAAATGAGTTCGGTGGTTAATAATGAAAACTTACACCTCAGGGAAATTCCCGCCTGGTCGGAAAAATACTACTCACTTCCCACGAAGTGGCACAGACCAGGCAGTGCTTAGCACCTTAGAGAATTGGAACACATTTCCACAGTTTGGAGCTTATACATTTTCGTAGTAGGGTTGTACCCCGGTTTACGTCGGGGATGCATTCGTAAAAGTTGCGACAAACATCGAAACTACGTAAACATGGAGGCGAAGGCTGAGGCGACGGATACGAGAAAGGACGGATGATGCTGTGAGCGACGTTAGTGTGGTTTGAGGCGACACAAATCAGGTAGTGACGATGTATTTGCAAAACGACGTAAAATGGCCAGACGTAAATCGTGGTATTATTGTATAAACACATACCATCACGTAAGTTAGACGTGTTTAAATCTCAAGTGCACACTAATATGAAATATGAAGGTTCTAATGGACTATACACGCCATCATTCAATGATTTCAGCAGAGGGTGCATGTCACTTCTATCAGCTGAGCTTATATACAACCAGACGTAAATCGGGGTATTATTGTATAAACACATACCGTCACGTAAGTTAGACGTGTTTAAATCTCAAGTGCACACTAATATGAAATATGAAGGTTCTAATGGACTGTAAACGCCATCATTCAATTATTTCAGCAGAGGGTGCATGTCACTTCTATCAGCTGAGCTTATATACAACCAATAACTAACCCTGTTGTGAGCACAAACGTTGCCACTTGCAACTCTTCATCAATTGGTAACGTGTCATGTACTGACTGGAGGTCTTGTGATGATTGTGCCAAGTCAACATTGATGTTGTATCATCTCACAATACTGCCCTCCTGCTCTATCAACTGCGCTCGTACATTTTTCAACTGTGCTCATCATATACAGTGTTAACAAATATTTTTCCCACTTTCAGCTATATTTCCATTGCGTTATTTCATCATAAGACAAAAAACATTCTGGCTAAGTAATGGATGAATTGCCTTGAAATCATCACTTGAAGATTATATCACAGAATTACGTCAATAGGCATTTTGGTCGCATTAGAGGGCACACATTTTATATGCTGGCACATGTCAAACCGAAAATTTAAATTAGTAAGATTTAGTCTAGCTACGTGATACTAAAGCTATAATAAATCGAATTAACTGAAAACCCTAATTTAATATCCACTGCTACTGACAGTAATGTTCATAGCAATAAAGGCAAACATGTTTGTTTTAAATACTGAAACCACCATGGGTTGAGTACACAATTTTTATTCACATTAACTGCCAATCCAAATTTAATGTGATGGTTTTTGTGCAGTCATTAGCGATTGGAGAGTGTTTAAAGTCGCTATACTTGAGAGTCGAGTTTAATTGCACGCGTGGCTTAAACACGGATTCATAAACCAATCATGCTTCGCAATCATTATAGTCGTGGCAATGCAGTCAGTTGGTCTGACCTGGGTACCTCCTGTAATACTGCATGTGTTTTAAACGTACGTGAAATGTGTACGTTTCAATTGCAACATCTTCACTCGAGCTCAAATCCCGACTTAACATTAATCTCTCAAGCCCTACCGGCACCTGTAAAGTTAATACCACTTTTGTGGAAGGTCACCGTTAGTACTTATCCTGCATTGTGGAATATCAGCCATTATTAGTCCAGGTCTGAGAATGAAACACCATCACACACTCTCACGGGTCGGAAACCACTGTGCCACCTTAAAAGCCGCTGTTATAAACTTGCATAATTATGCTCCGCGTGTGCCGGGCTGTCAGAAATGTACAACACAGTATCTCGAAGCTTCGTTAGTTAAAATAAAGCCCTGAAAGTGATGATCAACCGGTAGTTACGTCACTACAGCGCTATTGTGTAGTGCCCTTTTTAAAATTAAAAGCTTCAAAACCACCCGTGTAGAAACAACCACACACACCACCTAGGCTCGTGTGTCTTCGAGACGAGACGATTCGACAAATGAACGTCTCAGCTTTTATTTCCCTTTTATTTCGAATTTCACTCAGGCGACAGATGTACGATAAACGACATCCAAACCACGGTCACCTATTTAGTCACTCACCCGGTCACCCACCCAACCACCCAGTCACCCACCCGGTCACCCACCCAACCAACCACCCGGTCACCCACCCAACCAACCACCCGGTCACCCACCCAACCAACCACCCGATCACCCACCCGGTCACCCACCCAACCAACCACCCGGTCACCCACCCAACCAACCACCCGGTCCCCAACCCACCACAACCACGTTCGACACAGGAGGAAACCGACAACGTCGACAGCATCAGTATCCGCAGGCCCGAGACCATTGTTCGCAAGCGAGCGAGTGGGAGACGCGAGTAAAAAAAGGCTTCGGGTGTTAATTACCATGAAGCGTGTGAAAAAACAGCGGCACCAGTCCCAGCCTTCTTCCAAGCACCACGTCGAACTGAACCCTGACCCGGAAACCCGCCCCTACGTCATCCGGCAAGCTGTGAGGTAGGGGGTTGGTCAACATGACGCAATTTTGGGCTCATCGCGCAGAAGCGGTTGTGGAGGGAAGTGACGTCAGGATCGACGTTCGGAGGTGGCTCACGTGACGCGCGTTGTCGTCTCCGCCCCCACCCGTGGTGACGTCACCGTCACTGAGTGGCGAATGGCGGGTATTGGTATTGGAGGGGGGGGTGATTGAGGGACACAGCTGGTGCCATACCAGTCATCTCAGCCAACCCATGGCACCTGCTGGGTCTGTCCCCGAGACCTCCTGTCAGCAGCGAGCCAACGTGGCCTCAAAATGCACCTAGCCTGGCACAGGCGCCTCGGTGACGTCACCAAGCGGCGAATGGCGTCTCTTGGTTGGTTGGAGCCCCCCCCACCGACTCCTCCCGGAACTCTTGCCGTGGCCCTCTGAACGAGACTGACGTGGCAAACCAGCCGCCCTCGCGCATGCGTACAGCGAGGAGGGAGGGGGGGCGGGGCTTCTGGCGGGGCGTGACGGGGTGGGCGGGGGGAAGATGGTGGCGCGTGGGCGCGCGTGCGAGCCGACAACTCCGCTTCCGTTTCCTGTTTCGCGTCGCTCCCTCATTGCTAAGAGAGAAACTTCTTCCGCCTACTCCGTGACGTCCGTCGGCATAGCTCCCCCCGCCCCTCCCCCTTCTACACCCACCCCGCCTACTTATTAACATAGCTCCACCCATCTGTGCGCTAGCGCCCACCCACTTATCCCTGTCCTGCCCCCCCCCTTTCCCCTCCTCTTCCCGGCGGCTCCGAGGCCGTCGACGACGACGACAAGCGGCGACAATGACTAAGTGCGCCTTGCTCTGTTTACTGCTGGCCGTTGTCGACGTGTCGACCGCGCTTTACTTCCACATCGGCGAGACAGAGAAGAAATGCTTCATCGAGGAGATCCCCGACGAGACCATGGTTATAGGTGCGCGATGCCGCCGCCATCCACCGCACGCACTTCTAGACCGCGCGGCCTACGTGTAGGCCTAAGCCCTGACCTCGCCCGGTTGGGATACCGCGATCGGTGCGCTATGGCTCGGCCTGCGGTTTCAGGCGTGCGGCGGGGTCGGCCCGGTGTTTTCGCTGTTTTTCGCCACGCGTTTGTTGACGCGTGGCGGTTGTCGCTTCGCCCTTGGCTCCTTTTGGGCGTTTTGTTGAAGCGCTGACTGACGGTGTCGTGTGAGTTTTGAGGGTCCGTGCAGACTTGAGTGCTGAGCGTGTGAAGGCGGAACTTCGCGTCCAGAATGGCTTGTACTTGAAATCCATATCGAAGTTGGTGTTCCCGTGCTGAACACGCGAGTTAGAAACTACAGTAATAGCAACAACAACAAAAACACTCTAAATTAATGTTTTGAACGGACCCTTTTGCGCTGTGTTAACGTCACAAAGTCAAATTTCTTGTGAACGAATCTTAATCTCCATTTGGACAGCCCAGACATTAATGTGTATATCTGAAAGAATGCATGTGTTTATTGGTCAGATCTCCTTTAAAGTTGTGCGAATTGTGTTTCGGGTTTGGTGTCGTAGGTATTTAGGAGTTTTTTTTTATCTTGGTGATCGTGGCCAAGTTTTGAATACTGGGCCATGTGTTTGGTTGACGTGTGTTAAATTGGAGGATGTGTGTGCCGTGTCAAACAAGTTCTGCTCGCGTTAAAACAACCATTTTATGTTTTGATTTAAAGCTTTCGTGACTGCAGTAATTCATATTCTTAGCTCTTTCGGTAAAGTCACGTTGAAGGGAAACAATAAAATATATATAAACAATAAATATATATTGGTTGCATGAGTGGTGATTATATATAAATATAATTTTTATTATTTTATTGTTTCCCTTCAACGTGACTTTACCGAAAGAGCTAAGAATATAACCATTTTATGTTTGTACTGCTCCATTCGTACATCGACACGACTCTGACTTGACACTAGTCAACTCCGTGCATTACATTATTTTTTTTGAGAAACCGCACGTATTGCACTGCATTACACGCAAGCATATCGTTTCCATGTAAAAGTTTACGTTCATGCAAAAAAAATGCCAAATTTGTTTCATAAACATGAGTGCTACTGCGTGTGTTTTCATGCCGAACGTGGCTACGTACGGCAAAGTTGTGCCAAGTTGCAATGACGCTTTGTTTGTTACAACGCAGCTTGATGAAGCCCCCAGTGATGACGTGTAAGGTTCGCGGCTTCACCAGTACACGTTGCCCTCGCAGAGTTGGTTATATTGGATTCTTGCCTGCCTGTCTTGTCACGATGTTTCACTTTTTATTTATATTACGCCACTGCCATCGCTGCATTGTACCATTACCGTACGTTGATGTCGTCGCATGTCATAATGCCCATGGTCACCGATCGCGAATGCTAAGCAGAATAATTAAGCCTGGGATAGTGCTTGGATAGGCGACTACCATGCATTACAGGTGTCATCGGCGATGGACTTGGGGCTTGCGTGAAGAGAAGCGCAGCAACATCCATTGATGTACTTTTATGTTACCTGCCTTAAGCCAGTGCGGTTTGGCTATGTGGTGAAATGTGGTCACGTAACCGCCCACGACCCGCACAGCTTTGGGAGGCCCAAATGCAGTCATGGATTTACCAAGGGCTGTGCATACACATGCACGTGTATAGTTTGAGTCAAGTGTAGAAGTGTTAATTAAATGCACCTTTAACCTCATTGTACCGTGTCATACTTTTCTTTTGGCAGTGCACATTTATATTCTATCGGTCATTAAATTATATTGATGGGTTTTTTTATAATATCAAACTTCTTGGACAACACATTGCTATGTCCATGATATGGGAATTATAATTGTCATTGACAATGGTCGTAATTGCGAGCGAAACCTAACATGTTAATTCTTGCGAGTTTCTGGTGACGCTTAACATGGTCCATTTAACAAGTGAGTGCCCATGCTCATTACTAAGGAAAATCTTGCTCGACTTGAACCACATTTTGAAGTAATTCTTGTTCACGCAGACACCTGTTTGAAGAGGGCAGCTGTAAGCGTTCCTATTGGATGTCTTTCTCCTGACGCCCTTTTTCAATAACACTCTGTGCTAAGTGTGTCACTGATGTGGTGACACTGCTCACAATATAATTGATCCCTCAAATGACGTGGGTTAAACGTAAATCCGGTGATTTGACAAATAAGTGTACTCCGTATGTTTATTCTCCCACGTAGGTTTGTTTCACTTGTACTAATACCAGTTGAAAGAACCTTTTTGAAATAAAAAAAAAGTGTTAGCGTCTATATGGTACTCAGAATCTTTATTTAGACTGGAGGAATCTGATGAGTTGTGAAGCTCTAGTAGGGGTGGGTCAGTAAGTTACTACAAAAAAACTTGCAGTGTACCTTTTATGTTAAAATCAAGTACACCTCCATGCATAAAATATTGCTCTCGTCAGGGTTGTATCGCAATTATACATGGTGTTGTAACTTACCACCTTAACCCATTGGACATACGTTGTATTATAATGTATGGCTTGCTACATGATTAACTGCCAAATATATTTTCATATATTTATTTTGACATTGGGATATTATTTATTACCACAGTTATATAGTACTATATGCATGAGTGGTGATTATAGTTTATCTTGTTATACAGTACTGTATTTTAGTGTTGGTACAGATTCCTTATTTTGTGTAGCACTGATAAGTGTAACAGAATACAAACCACTATTGTGGTGCAAGAGGCTGATAAATTACGGAACTCGATTGCAGCTTTTTGCATTGCGAAGTGTGTGTACGTGCATTTGCATGTTCACATTTTGCTTTTTATAACACGTGGACATAAATTATAGAACCGTACTTCTAAGGTAAAAATTCATGTTCAGAGATGCCAATTGTCTTTTTTAAAGTAGTTGTTTGCACTACTGTCGTTTATATCCGTGAATTAATGTGCCCCTGCTGAGTTTCTTTGGCAGGGTTTATTTTATATATATATGATGCATCTTAATGATGAAACATAGCATCCCATTTGAAAATGCGTTTTGCTAACCTTTCTTTTATTGTGCATACTTATAATGTAAGTGGACTAATTTTTGCTTTCCTTTCACAGGCAATTACAAGACTCAGCTTTGGGATAAGAACAAACAAGAGTTTCTCCCTTCCACCCCTGGTTTGGGAATGCACGTGGAGGTTAAGGACCCAGATGGCAAGGTATGCCTGCAGAAGAACAAAAAAGATACATGACTTCATCATTCTCGATTTGAAGTTTTCGTGACTGCAGGGATCCATACTCTTTGGTTCTTTCGGTAAAGTCACGTAGGTATAAAATAAAATAAGTTTAATCACGACTTTCCGGGTGCAACACAAGTGGACTTCTTACCTCTTCCAACACAAGCGGATGCACCCGAAACGTCGGGATTTAATTTATTTTATTTTATACCTACGTGACTTTACCGAAAGAACCAAAGAGGAACTTCATCATCTTGTGCAATATTTTAAAGTTTGATTTAAATTTTGCGCAACCCTATGTGAAGAGATGGGTGGCTACAAAATTGCCTCGTGACTGACAGTTAATTTTCTACGTCATCACATTCATGTCTCATGCTTGGAATCAAAATTCTAAGCGATTAAGTTTTAAGAATTGTAGTAGATTTAGCATTTCTCTTGAGACATGGAATTGACGACCACTACCTTTCAGGTACTTTGAAAGACTAGAAAACAAGATAATCATCAGCCATGATCGATGCACTGCTAGATGAAGGCTGCCCGAAACCATCACCGTCTCATGCTCCTGTGATTTAACAATCCACCAAGCACCTGTATGATCCAAATGTTTTGGTCTGTCTGTTGGACATCCTTTTTGTAGCATTTCATCCCTTGGCTGTCCATTATCTTTGTCAATGTCCACGTTCATTATCCATATGTATTAGCAGGTAGTATGCATTGATAAAGTATCTTTAGGTACAGTTTTATGTTGCTTTTCATTGTGAAGTTCAGTTTTTTTAAAGCACTCCCAACTGGTTCGCTTGCGCCTCTTTATTTCATAATTATGCTTTCAGTCCAC